GACAACAAGACAACGACAAGACGACAACAAGACGACAACAAGACAACGACAAGACGACAACAAGAAGACAACAAGACAACGACAAGACGACAACAAGACGACAACAAGACGACAACAAGACGACAACAAGACAACGACAAGACAACGACAAGACGACAACAAGACGACAACAAGACGACAACAAGACTATGACAAGACGACAACAAGAAGACAAGACAACGACAAGACAACGACAAGACGACAAGACAACGACAAGACAACAACAAGACGACAACAAGACAACGACAAGATGACAACACAACGACAACAACGACAAGACGACAACAAGACGACGTCAAGACGACGACAACAAGACGACGTCGACAACAACACAACGACAACAACACAACGACGACAAGACGACGACTACAACACAACGACGAAACCACAACAAGACGTCAACAACAACAACGAGACACTGATCGGATCGATCGACGCAGACGTTAAGGCCTCTCGGGGAGGTCGGTGGAGCTCGGGGGGGTTACCTGCGGCGGGGGTTTTAGGGCGGGGTCAGGGGGGAGTAGCTTAGTGGGAGGAGCAGGTCTGTCATGAACCTGATAGGAGAGAGAAACAGGAAGCGGAGAGACAGCTGATACGTGCGCAGCAGCTGGGAGGTCAAAGGTCAAAAGGTGAGGAGGTGAGGTCTGGAACCAGAACTTCCAGGTTCCTGGTCCAGACCTCACCTTCACTCAACAGTTTGTTCAGTGTTTAATCCAAATGTAACGAAAGGATCTAATACTTCTGTTTTTAGAGAATGGACACCATTTCCCAGAATCCCACAGGCCGTCTGTGATCACAGGTGTTTGCGCCTCCTTGTGGTCGCTTTTAAAACGGACACTGACGTGAACGTGAACACTAATTCTTTGATAGGGCTCATGTAAACAGATGATGATATCAATATAAATATATACATATGTAGATTATATATAAATATATATATATATAAATATATATGAAATTAATTAAGACTTTTACAGACTGATGTTTTTGTCATGAAAGGTTTTATTCTGAATATAGCACTTTCTGATTCCATATGTTGACATTCTTCAGGCTTTAGCAGCATTCTGTGGACTTTTGAATGCAGCACGTTTAGAACGTACGTCTGTGTTTGAGACACAGACGTTCCTGTTTACGGCGTCGGAGTTTGTTCTCGTTCAAAGTGGTAAAAAGAAAAGCTCAAAGAACTCAGCGAGTGTTCAGCATGACCGCAGCAGGAGCAGTTATTTAAAGGACGTGTAGATGTGAGCGGCTGCATGTAAACAGGATTATTAGTGGAATATTAATTAGGGAATAGCATACTTTTTCACAAAAAGGGCGAAATCCAGATACAGGAAGTATGTTTTCTGTTTGTTTATGATTTATTTCTTCAGATGTTAGTAGAAGAGGTGAAGCTTAGGACAAACCTTTTTATTTATCTCTAACATGAAACAAACAAGTAAAAAACAACAACAAGAATAACCAATAAAATGAAGAGCAAACAACATGAATAAATACTTTGTGTCCCATAAGGAACAAGAATGATCGTACCTTGTCTCCATAACTCAAACTATTAACTCAACATTTACCATAGTAAACAAACACATTAAATTCAACTTAAATATGTTAAACTGACGTAACTTAAACCATCTCTGTATCTCTTAAAAATGATCTTCTGGATCCATATTTCAACCCCACTAATTGAAATACGCCCGCTCTTCATAGTTCATACCAACACAAAGCTCTTTTTAATGTAACTAACTACTTTTGAATGACCTGAATGATTTCCTGAGTCTGTGAGGTTACCTCTTTAGTGGGCGGAGTCAGCGGGATGTCGGTCGGGGGGTTCAGGTGGTACCTCAGAGGTCGGACCTGCTCACCGTTCCGGCCGTCCACTCGCTCCATCACCGGCGTCCTGACCAAAAAAAACATCATCGGTTTCATCGTCACATATCGTTCTATAGTGATGCATTCAAGGACGCTCAGACATGTGAGAACTCACATTTCTCTAATGTGATAGTTTGTGTTTTTCTGCGATGTTTTAAAGCGACATTATGGAACTATTTCATCTTAAAATAGCAGCTTCAACATCATGGTGATGCTACAGAGACTCGTATTAGAAACAGTCATCAATGTCCAGAAAGTTCAATTTACTTGCTGCTAAAGTAACGCTAACGCTAACTGTAGCCGTCAGCTAGTTAGCTCAGTTAGCCGTGCTGCTGGGAGCTGAGAGCGTTGCTAGAAGATATTGAAAGCATTGATCTGAAAGCAGATTTTTAAAAACAAAAAGTTAAAGGGGTCATCATTTTCTCTCTTATATCTATTTTATGTCAAAACATCTTAAAAAACTGCATTTATTCATGTTTCTCACCAAAAACTACATTTTACAAGATTGCATTTGAAAGCATTATGAGAGCATCATAATTTATTCACACTGTAGTATTTTTTACTGAATAGAGCTTGAAGGCATCATAATGTAACGCCATGCAACGTTAACGTTAGCGGTTAGCTCCGTTATTTATCCAAGCAGGACTGTGCTGCTCACCGGCTGCTAACAGCTAATCGCTAACTAACATTAGCTAACATTAAATAACATTAACTAGCATTGACTAACGTTAACTAGCATTAACTAGCATTGACTAACATTAGCTAACATTAAATAACATTAACTAGCATTGACTAACGTTAACTAGCATTAACTAGCATTGACTAACATTAGCTAACATTAGCTAACGTTAACTAGCTCTCCTCCTGCTGGTTTCATGCTGTCGGACTAGTGAGTGATATCAGCCGATTGCTCCGTGTCGTGTGCTCGATGTTTGTCTCGTTACATAATTTGCAGTTTAAAAAAGGTAATAAATCTCCGAATATATTCACGCAATAAGAGGCTGAACAGGTAAACCGGTGTGATTTTAATGATCCAGTGACCACAGCACAGATCTAAAAACATCACCACGGACACAACATCAAACAACGACTAACACGTCACAGATCTCCAGTTATCCAACCACATGACAACACGACAAGTTCAGGGTCCGTTCTGCAGTGGGAACAATCAGTTCTCTCTCACATGTAGAGATTTATCCTCCAATTAGAAACTACAACAGACTACCAACAGTCAGCCTTAAAGCTGCAGCTCCGTGGTCTCCATAGGGCTCTCAACATGACGACGGCTGAGACTCTATTCTCAGGTAGACATTCCTCCACTCATCTTTACATAATAACTGTTTTGATGTATGTATGACCGTATTAATACTCTGAATGTCGTATAGAGAACCTTTAAGCTTTGAGGACTTCATTACCCAGAATCCTCTCTGACTTGGCTGATGTCTCACCACACAGTATTTTACGATACAGATGACGAGCTTGATCTATGGTTTATGACGAGGCTGACTGAGTGAGACTGGCTGGAGGGATCCGTGCAGCTTAGAGGTCTGAGGTGGATTTCCTCTGCAGGTGTGATCAGGTCTGAGGGGACCGTCAGCGAGGTGAAGATTTAAACCAGCTATAAAGTGTATGTGGAGCTAACGTTAGCATCATTAGCTCGTCTCTCAGCTCCTCCAGGACGTCCTGAGATGTTGAACGTGAAGCTGCTTTAATCAGAGGAGACCATGAAGACAACAAATCCCATGATCCTTTGCTGCTACACCACGTCAACAAACCACGTGTTTTGGCAGTAAATTAAATATTGTACTTTTAGAGTCTGTCGAACAGTAAAAGCTTCACCTCTCTGACTCTACGGGGACTGACTATAGAAAAGGACCCAGCAGGACCAGGAGTACCTGGAGACGTGGAGGGGGTCTAACTCCAGACCCAACATCTCCAAGTGAGTCACACTGCATTATGGGTAAGAAAACAAACCAGACTCTCATGAGTGTTTATGAATAAATACTTAAACTGTTAAAACACACATTGAGCTTTGTTTATGTATTTGACAACAATCATATACTAAGTATGTACATTATTATATTTAATCATATGTTCAAATATACAATATTTATATTATATCATGTTTATTGTCATATATAAATTCATATTATAATAATATATATAAAGATATTTCTAATAGATTTTTTTTATGAAAACAGAATTGCAGGAAAAGTTTCAAAATGTTTCAAGAAAAGTATATATATTAATAATATATGTTATTAATATATATACTTATATTATTAATATATATACAGTGCCTTGCATAAGTATTCACCCCCCTTGGATGTTTCATCCTTTTGTTGCTTTTATACATGAAATCATGGTCAATATAATTTGGCTTTTTTGACAAGAATTTGCAAAAAAACCTTTAATATCAAAATGAAAACAGATTTTTACAACATAATGTAAATTAATTAAAAATATATAAGGTAAAGTAAAGATTGCATAAGTATTCAACCCCTTCAGGTCAGTGTTTAGTTAATGCTCCTTTGGCTGCAATCACAGCACTGAGTGTGTGTGTGTGTGTGTGTGTGTGTGTGTGTGTGTGTGTGGATGTGTCTCACTCAGGCTGGCACATCTGGACACTAAGACTTTTCTCTATTCTTCTTCAAATCAGCTCAAGCTCTGCTCCAGCTCTGTCAGGTTGCTCAGGGATCGGGTGTGAACAGCTCTTCTCAAGTCCAGCCACAGATCCTGGATCGGATTGAGGTCTGGGCTTTGACTTGGCCACTCCAGAACATTCACCTTGTGGTCTTTGAACCATTCTGTGGAGCTTTTGCTGTATGCTTGGGGTCGTTGTCTTGCTGGAGAATAAATCTTCTCCCAAGTCGTAGTTCTCTTGCAGACTGAGTCAGATCATCCTCCAGGATTTGTGGATATTTGTCTGCATTCATGTCCCCCTCTACCTTTACAAGCCTTCCAGGGCCTGCTGCTGAGAAGCATCCCCAGAGCAGCATCCCCAGAGTATACATATATACATATATATGTATACATATATATGTATACATATATATATA